TGTAATCGGTTCCCTCTTTCCTACCCATTCTCCCTTTACCCTCCCTGTTTCGCCACTCAAGGTCTCGGGTGTTAGTATAAGAATCCCTGCTAGTGCAATAGATGTTAACTGAAAGGTCCACAGTTCAAACTCTCCAGTTACATGGGAGAAAGATGTAATCTGCTTCCATAAAGATTATAGTACTGGAAACACAGGGAAGTTCTACCATGTCCTACAGGATTGCTATGAGTTGGAATCAACTTGACTACAGTTGGTTTGGTTTGGATTAAATGTCAGTAAACAACAAACTTGATCAGTTTTCTATTTCTAACTTACACTGCCCTCTGTTGGAAACTAAAATAAGGCAAAGCTTATATCCTACCTAAAGTCTGAAATAATACACATTTGGTCAAATCTGTTTCATAAGCAAGCAGTTCAGAGACACAAAAGCAGTTTGATTGGATATAAAGTTTAAATACATGAAAAGGTTTAGTTAACGAGCTCATTCTTTATATGCATAAATATATGCATATTTCATTTATATGAAATAAAATTTCCTGTGCACATGAATCTGTATTTTTTCAAACCATCTGTACCCATCTTAAAGATATTTAATTTTTAATTTCATAGTTGAGTGTAGCTAATCCACATTTATATTAATAAATAGAATGAGTAGCCAAGGAATCAGTGACACTAAAAGTCATCTTTATATTTTCATTTCAATATGAATTAATTTTTTCTGAGAAATCACAAGTTAAAGTAATATAAGTAACACTAAAAATCTCTTCTTTTTAAAGCAATACCTTCTTTGAAGTAAAGTCAATATCTAACCAAGTGTGGAAATTTCAGAGGTACCAGCTGATTATGACGTTTCATGACCGGCCAGTCTTACCACCACCAATGATCATTTTAAGCCACATCTACATCATCATTATGCATCTTAGTGGGAACTGCAGGAAAAAAAGAGAAGGAGACCAAGATGAACAGGATCATGGATTAAGTATGTGCAAGACCCTTTCATTCCTATCCTGGGCTAATTTCAAGAAAATGTTTCAGTTGGGCACTCTTAGAAGTCTCACTACATTTATTAAATATGTGAAAATACAACACTCTAGCCTAGCCGCTGTTCTTTTCAGAATGCTTCTCATTTTTTGTCACTTTTATTCTGGTTGGATTAATGATTAGTAATCACAATTACAGATGACGCCCAGGTGGAGAAAATTATTTGCAATTGACAACTAACCTAAATGCTGGTAATTCAAATTCACCCAGAAATACCAAGGAAGAGAAGCCTAAAGATCTACTTCTGTTAAAATTGTTGTCAGTTGGTATAAAGTCAACTCTCGTTCATGGCAATACATATGTTATAGAATCGAATTGTTCCAAAAGTTTGTGCAGCTATAATCAATAGATTGCCAAGACTTTTCTTCCAAGAATCACCAATTTCTGGTTAGCAGTTAAGCATAAAGCATTTGGGCCACCTAAGGATATTTCCAGTAAAAATGTGCTTGTCCCAATGGGTGTATGTATCGATTGTGAATAAGAGCTGTATGATCCCCCAATAAAATGATTTTTTTTTTAAAGATTACAGCCAAGGAACAGAAATCTAAGATCACAGACTAGGCTGATACACTATCTAGACTCTCTACAACAACGACTCAAGACACCAAATGAACAAGATATGAATGGCAATCCTGGAACTTAGAACTTCAAAGGAAAAGATAAATTATCTCAAATACGGATGAAAGGAAGAAAATGAACAAAAACAGCAAACAAGGAGGAATCACTAAACTGCCAACTGACCCAGTGCAGTCATTTTGAGTTATTGCAAGCAGGATTTCAACCGAAGCAGGAAGCAGATTACTGGTTCCACTCACCCAGGACTGTACCAGCACCCACATCAGTGACTGGCCACCAAAGAAGTGTGATCTATCTTCTCCCTTACCTCGCAAAACCTACCAATATCAAGAGGCAGCCCCCTCACCACTGCCCACTCAGTGGCCGGTCAAACCTACTGCACCCTCCCTTCCCCATCAACCAGGGCTGTACCACTTTTCCCCCTTAGTATTTTACTCTTACCACCATCCCTTTTTGCTATTTTCTTTTTTTCCCCTTTTGTGTATTATTAACTTCTATTCCTTTAGAAACCCTCATGGCACTGTCAGGTAAACACTGGACTGCTCACAGCAAGAGTGGCAGTTCAAATCCACCAGCAGCTGTGACAGAGAAAAATAAGGTTAGCTGCTCCCAGTAAGACTGACAGTCTCAGAACCCCTATTGTTGCCAGCATATAAGGTCTGGGATGCCTGGCACTGGTCTAGCCTAAGAGAGAGACCAGGTTAATTGAGATTTTCTACATTTATTTCTGCAAGTGTTTCACAAGAGGCAACCATGAGGTTTGCTACTTTCAAGACTGCTTTAATTTTCAGTGAAAACCAAGTAATTCATATACTCTGAACTACGTAGCAACCTCAAGGGAATGTTTAAGAAGTTTGTTACAATGAACAAAAGTCTTCAATTAAGGAAACAAAGGGGGCAAGGTTCACTGAGGAACAGAAGACATCCTTGAACCTTTCACTCCCTAAGGCAGTGGTCGTCAACCTTCCTAGTGCCGTGACCCTTTCATACAGTTCCTCGTGTTGTGGTGACCCCCCAGCCATAAAATTATATTCATTGCTACTTCATAATTGTAATTTTGCTACTGTTATGAATCATAATGTAATAATCTGATATGCAGGATGTATTTTCATTGTTAGAAATTGAACATTAAAGCATAGTGATTAATCACAAAATAATATATAATTATATATTGTGAAATATTTATTTCACTTACAAATAAATGAAATTTTGTCTTGAAGCATGGTGTAGCATGGGTAACAGTCTTCACACCGGGTACTCGTATGTGGGCATATCTGCATGTGGGCGGACCCGCCTGAAGAAGGATAGAGGAGCTATGTCTAGGTTCCTAAGACCATTGGGAATATGTGTTTTCCGATGGTCTTAGTTGTTTGACCCCCAAAGGGGTTGCAACCCACAGGTTGAGAACCACTGCCCTTAGGTCTCAAGCTTCATTATTTATCAAAATGTTCTTGGTGCCCAGATGGATTTTTTTGCCTAAACATATTGACCAAGTTTAAAGGGAATTTTACTGCTAGGTGGTGCACTGATGCATTTTAGTTTTTAGCTATCTAGATCCCAATCGTGCCACACTTTTGAGTATTTGATTAGCATCAGGCTAACTCCATTATCTGCTCTAGCACTCTGAGTCAGAATCAGCTAGTTGGTAATGGTTTTTTGGTTCTGTTTTCCTTTGTTTTTATTTTCTTACCCGTTTTTTGGTTGTTGACGATGATAATGTTTTGTCAATTCTGTGTAGCAGATGCCCTGTCCTACGTTGCCTCCTTGATTAACAGTGCCCTTCTCCATTCAGCAGTATGAACTCCCATGAAAGCTGTGTTTTGACCCTGTCATCATTACTGGGAGCTCTCGCTCTCGCTCTGCTCTTTCTCAATCCCTTCCCTTTCCCTCCCTTCCTTATTTTTACTTCCTTCTTTATTTTTCTCTTTTTTATCCCTTATTCTTTTCTCTTTCTTTTGTTAATCCCATGGAGTGGGTACTCACCCTACATAACTTTCATAGTCAACAGCC